TTATTATTATTATTAATTTCACTTCGCTCGCTGTTGCATCCAGCTAACATTCCACCAACACTATGTTTCTTTGTTGTTGATTGTTTTGTTGTTGTTTTTTAGTAGGAGTTTTACGGCGCTCGCAACTGCCTAAGGTCATATGAGCGCGCGAAACACAAGTTGGTTGCATTCACAACAGTTCACTGCACAGCTGGGCTCGGGTCAACCATCAGATTTTAAAACGTTAAAATGTTACAAATTTGAGGTAAATAAGTTCGTAGTTTTTTAAATAACTTTAAAATAACATTAAAGATTTTATTGCAAGTTAATTCACCATTTGCCGTAAAGGCCAATGGCCTTTATAAAATCTAGGATTCTGTTGGGATCAACGACGGAAAACAGATCTTGCAATTAGCCAGTACTAAATCTAAAGGTTTGAAAATGTTTTGTTTTGCAGTTTCGGTTGCATGTGCTCAACAGCATTTATTTTGTCTAAATTCAAATTTTAAATGGTGAAAAAATCACACAAAAAAACACACATAATATTGTAGGTACATTTAATAGTTAAACGAATGAATCAGGCTTTTCTCTCTCCTGTAAAATATTGTTTTCTGAGCGTAGATCTAGTACATTTTAACTCCCAAACGACGAAATTTTGTGTTTTGCTACCACACCGACACAATTTAGATCATCTAATATCGTTTAGATCGTATTTAGGAGGATGGCTGCTTTGACTATGTGTCAAATAGATCCATATATAACAATATCTTAGCAAACAGACAGAGATACTCGACTCTTAAAAGTCCCGTTGGGGAAATCGAACTCCCGCGTGTCTGTCTTGCTCTCTCCATGCCTTTAGTGATCGTTACTGCGGTGATTCTGCTGGGCCAAGGGAGACCGACGTATCTGCAAAAAATATTAATTTTTACATTTTCTTTTAAATGGACACCTATACATGTACCTATTCCGCATCTTGTGCCAAATTCAGGAAGACGTATCTGCACTACAAATAGAATATTTCACTATGGCAAACAGACGTCACTGAAGGGCCATGCCCAGGCAGTGCGATGTAACTCAAAATCATAAAAAGTGCAGATACGTCGCTCTGCCTTGGCACGACAGTGGTGCGTTTCTCTTTACTCCAACGAATTCATCGTATCTTCCCACAGAAATCAAAAGCATCAAGATGTCTCTGTACGCTAGAGATACGAGCTGACTCACCACAGAGGGGTATTTAAAACTCGGCGTGCGAACATGGCACAGACTGACTTGTGAAGGATACCCCCGTCCTTTAACGTCCTGGGAATCGTCCGAAAGGAAGACCGGAACTGACACATTTTTACAAGGGAGCTAACTAAACGACAGCAGAAATAATGTGTCCGATGAAGTACATGGATTTGTCTTACGAGGGGCGACAACTCTCGGAGAGAAATCAATTCGATAATGGGAAATACCCGCACGGAGGCTACCGAGGTGAGTGGCTGTGACTGTGATTGGTTCGTGCATTCTTTCACATATCAGTTTGTATTTATTAGGCTTTTTTATGTATCAGTAATCATTCCTTTTCTTTCCGCTTTTCTTATCTCATGAACCTTAACGTATCGCACTCGTACGATCGAGTCTTATCGACACCTTGTCTTATAAGACAGCCTAATAATTAAATTGGTGTGTGCCTTATTGCTAAACCGAGAAGTCCTGTACTACAAAAATGAAAGAACAAAGACCACAAACGTAGCCTTGGAAAGATACTAATTCTAAAATCTTGTCGGGGGAAACGATATCAGGTGTGTAAGACATTGACAGACTTCGCTGCAAAAGAATGGTGTCAAACTGGCTAAAACCATGAAAACTGAATTTGGTGTGGATTCTTTTTAGCTGACAATGTTGACAGCCGCCTATAAATCTAACTGTTTTCCTTCTTATTATTCAGCATATTACCTTATAACAATGTATGTCCCAGTTAGAGGGATACAACTTCCCAGGAGACTGACGCAGATACTGTTTGGTCGCTTTTAAGGACAAGAGGGCTATCCCTAAAATACTGTTTTGAGAAAATTGAAGGTAAAGTTTTTGCCCCTTGTTCAGTTACTTTAAAAAGACAAGGAGAGTTTTCTCTATAACCAAACAAATATACACACCAATGAAACCAAATTTCTTCTATAGGTAGGACAATGCCCTCTCTTGGTATAGGTCAAGATTTCTGGAAAGCCCCAGAAATCTGGGTTAGCCTGCTTGTCCTTAAAAGCGACCAATTTTTTAAAAAGCCTCCATACACGAGAATCAAATTCACGCCTTCTGCATACGATTGTGTAGCGCCTAAAAAGCTAAACCACAGACGTCGCTTCACTTTTTTGTAATAATCTTATACGGGGTGCCCACTACGGGTGGAATCAGCCGATCGGGCCGATCACCCGACTCAGTCGCCTCAAAAACAAACGTGTTTGTTTTAGGTTTCAGGCGATAGAGTCGGGCGAACAGCACGATCCAGCCGTAGTGGGCACCCCGTATTAGTAAATCGCATTTGTATAGCACACATTCCCGCTCAGCGGCAAGCTCTATTGCTTTATATTATTATCTATACCCTTACCGTGGCAGACCTGATAGCGCTCTGAAATAATCTAAACTCCCTGCGAAGCAAAAAATGCAAGCAACCATTTTCAGACGATAAAGTAAAACACAAACATACTGACAAGATCTTTCGTTCTCTATGTCATGGTACCCATTCACACCTGGGTGAAGTGAAGACAATTCGTGTAGAGTACCTTTCCCAGGGACACAACGTCGGGCTGAGCCTCCTACCCCAGTACACGCAATCTCACAGTTACGAGTCCAGTAGTTTGATACGGAGTGCCCTTTGGGCTGACTCCGGGGTTTTATGCACCCCCACATAATTTAGCAAACTTTGATCATTTTTGGCATAATTTTTGATCATTTTTCTGTATCATTTTTCGTTAAAATTAACAGAATCGCGTAAGTTCTCATTTTTGGACTCAGTTTGCATAATTTTAGATTTTTTTTTAGATAGAACCGCGGGGACGGATTGGGGGGGGGTCGGTTTTCCTATCGCCAACCGATTGCCCGACTCGTTGCCTGTAAAACAAACGCGTTTGTTTTTTAGGCGACGAGTCGGGCGATAGGTTTGTGCCACGATAACCGCTTTGTGCCTTCAATCTGGCTAGCAAACCGAACCGAACCGAATCAATCATGCCAATGAGCACTGGGTTTAAGCAAATCTTCAAGCGACAAACCCAGCTCCGTCGGGAAGCGACAGAGAGTCAGTCAATATGCCTACTGCAGACCAACAGAGGCACTACCTTACCCTTCTTATACGAGGGGGGACAAAGCACAAAAATGCCTGTGCCCAGAAAACTTGAATGATGATTTTTATTCTTCGTTGTTCCCTTGCTTCCTTCTCTCTTTATTCTGTTTTCTTTTCTTCCTTCTTTTTCTCTTTTGTCTACTTTCTTCCCCGTAGTCTTTTGCTCATTATTCTGCTTTGTTCTCTTTCTACAATTTCTTCTTTTTTTTTTTTTTTTTTGCTTTCTCTGCTTCCTGCCTTTTTTTTCTTTATTCTGATTTGTCTTCTATCTTCTCTTCCTCTTTATTCTACTTTATTGCCTTACTTCCTCCATTGATTTGCTCCTGACATGTGTGCCGAGAGTTTCGCCTCCTAAATGACCAATCTGGTGCTCCTAAAGCACAAAACTCATATTCATACACACACCTGCTGGGACCTTATTTTTGTCTCGAGAAAGTTCAAATGTCGAATTGGAAAGGAGTTTCATTTTTCGTGTCGTTCTTTCTGGAAAAGGGTAACATTTACTCTCGACAAGAGACAATGGTCCGCCTCTTTTTTTTATGTGTTTTTGGGCGCTGGCAACTGCATAAGGTCATCTGAGCGCACGGGACACAATAAACATTTTCAATTGGTAGGAATTTTTGAATTTTTCCCGGGTGGCTGCCGAAGCCTACTCCTATTGATTTTAGACCACCAAGGGATCTTTAACGTGCGCAACTTGCACACGGGCCCTCCGAGATTTTTCGCCCTTGTCCAAGAAGGCTAGTTGTAGATCTTTCCTGCCAGAAGATCGGGGATGTGGCTGAAATACAGCAGTAAGAAGGAGCCAAGGAGTTGCTGTAGAAAGAATCAGGAGCCAAGAGGAGGGGGCAAAGGAGGTGAGGGGGTGGGGGTAGAAAGAGGAGACGAATGCAGACTACAGAACATTGCCAAAGAGCGGGAAAGAAGGTGAAAGGAGGCTATTGTAGGGAAGAAAATGTTTCGGTCGCTAACCGGATTCGAACCTGGGACCCTTGAATACGTGGCCAACACCTTAACCTCTTGGCCATGAGAGCCCCAGGCCCGCCTCTGGGATGGCTTGAGTCTGGTAGAGCGCAAATTTCAGCAACGGCGGTGGCCAATATTTCTTGGTGCTACATGAAGTGCTAAATTAGGAAGTACATGTAGTTTCATTACGTGCCAGATTTAAAACAGACAGCAACAATCATGGTTCTCTATTCTTTTCTTTTTCCGGATGGCCCTAAAAAACGGTACTTTCCTGGTCTGTCTCCTTTAACCGTGTGTTCAGCTTTTCCAAGTGCATTTCTCGTTTGCCGCCTATTTTTTTTTTCAGTGAGAGTACAATGTTCACGGTCTTTATGTCGTTTTGTTTTATGTTGGTTTTTAAATAAAATAACTTTGGCTTGTTTATGTACTCGTCATCAACTAGAGTCAGAATCCTGATTTTCCCCCGTCACCCTTTACAAAAGGATCTTTCATCTTGGAGTACGATGTTCACGGTCTTTATGTTGTTTCGTGTTGTTGGTTTTTTGTGTTTTTTGGCGGGCGGGGGTTATCATCTTGGCTTCATTATGTATTCGTCATCAACTAGTGTCAGAATCCTGATTTTTTTCCCCCGAGTATTACGAGGAGAAAAAGGAGAAAATACTTGGAAGTTCTTGGGAAGAATACGTTGAGAAATAAAGGGAATGTTCAGCTAAGTAACTGTCACAATCATGACAAAACTTTTCATTTTATGAGTGGCGTTGGTGGCCTAGTGGTTAGGCTATCGCACTCGTAATCATGAGGTTGAGGGTTTGGGGGTTCGTGCCTTGGGAAAGGCGTTTTACACGAATTTTCCTCACTTCACCCAGATGGGAATGGGTACCCTGCCATAGACAGCGGAAGATCGTGTCAGTATGTTAGTGTTATAGCACCTATGAATGGCTGCTTGCAATGTATGCTTCCCAGGAAGCTGAGGTTGTTTCAGAATGCTCTCAGGTCTGCTGGGGTAATAGTAGTATAGAATGTGAAGGGCAGAGAGCTTCCTGTTGAATGGGGATTTGCGCTATACAAATGCTATATATCTACTATTATTATTATGGGCATTTTCTTTTTATTTCTGGGACCATGCTCGTGAATCATTTAATTTCTTTTCGTTCCCTGAAATTCTCAAAACAATCATACGAGAGGGTAGCCTTGACCAATTAACGTAACAGTAAAACTGTAAAGGGTTGTTAATTACCCACGGTTTTCATGTTTGACCTTTGCCCCATCTCAGAGAGGTCTCACGTTAACGATAACTTTGTACATGACTCCTTGTGGTCAAACTTATTGATCACCGGAACGATTTATTGATTATACACCTGCCTGGGTGAACTGTGGTTCACTGGTTTGTGTGTGACCAGACCTGGTCACTTTGTGCTTTGGTGGAACAGCGGGAGAGCGCAGAGTTACCGACAAAGAGTTGTTCTCTTTTTTCTTTCTTTTTTTAACCTCTGTTCTGAAGCTATCGAAGTTTTTGTCTGTATAAGCTATTGGGTATTTACATTGCTTTCAAGCGTTCCATATTACAGAACTTTACTATCGGGTCAATGGCAGAAATAGCTACAGTACAGCAAGTAATATTTACTAAGAACCGCTTTGAACTGAAGTCATTTCAGAAAATCGCTATCAACGACGGTGAAGAGAAAGAACCATTTCCGGGTTATGGCAAATAGAGCTCTGTACGGAGGTTTTCGATGTTGGTAGTCTCAATTAGTTGATTAAACTTTCTCTTTATTTTTCGTTCAAATAAAGCAACAATAGTTTCCCCCGAGGTTTAACCATGACATTTTTTGTTGTTGTTTGCTGTTTTTGTTGTTGTTGTTGTTGTTTTTGAGGATAATAATGATGATGCTGTTGTTGTTGTTGTTTTGTTATTGTTTTTTGTTGTTTGTTTTTTTATTAATTATTTTCTTAAAATTATTTTCTTTTTGTTTTTGTTATTCGTTTGGGTTTGTTTATTCCTGTGGATGCACCGTTAACTTATTGTTATTATCATTATTAGTTTTTAGATTAGTAGTAGTAGTAGTAGTAGTAGTAGTAGTAGTAGTAGTAGTAGTAGTAGTATAGTTGTTGTTTTTATTATTATCATTATTATTATTATTATTATTATTATTATTATCATTGTTATTTTGTTGTTATTATCGTTATTGTTTCTAATAGCACCAGTGTTATCTTTGTTTTATTGTTATTTTACTATAGTCCTATTATTGTTCTCTTGTCATTAATGTAATTATTATTATCTTTATTATTTGTTACGTGAATTGTTGTTATGGTGTAAATATAGTAGGCCAATGACTGTCAGTTGATGTTAATGCACCGATCATTCCTACTTTCTTCGAAAAGGGGTCCCAGCTAGTATATCGTACCAGTCAACGGCACAGCGTTTCCTCTACTCCTAAATAAGTTTTAGTCTTTATGTAAACTGAGTAGATGATTAGCGCCATGAGTTCCTTATCAAACCTGTTAATAAATGATGATTACTGGGGATTTAGTTCGAGCTTTCTGTAATCCGATTGTTCTACGCTCGTTCGAGTCGAAGGCTTAGCCCTTTAATCTTCTTTAGTGAGTAAATATAACAATAACGTTTCGAAATCTGATAGTGATCGGGGTGTGTGGCTTGGTGTGGTCACAGACTTGTGGCTCTGTCTGACGAGCCGGGTGGGTCTGTTGTCACAGAGAAGAGGGCCGCAGAAAAACCCAGGCTGTCTCGTTACTTATCAAACGTGCCATGCCGCGGAGTAACCAGTAGCTCGTCAGTTGTTGTTTCTTTTTGTTTGTTTTGTTTTGTTTTGTTTGTTTTTTGTTTTTTGTTTTGTTTTTGTTGGGGGGGGGGTATATAGGGGAAAAATACCCCAGTATCTTGAATAAAAGTTGAGATATTTGTTGCTGAAGATGGTTTGGGTCACTTGGTGTCGGAAGTAAAATTAGCGACAAAATGGCCCTCCAAAGTTTGGTGACTTCCAAAGCCTAAGTGCCCTTGGAATCTGAAAATTTACATTAACTGGGTTTTTTATATTTTTTTAAAACGTTTTTCCAGTAAAATCCTAGCAGAAATATTTTTTTTAATGGAAACAAATGTGTTGAGCGCAAAATAAAATAGTTTAAAGATTGCTTAATTGTCAGAAAATGTCGCTTTCTTAAATTTCTTTACTTTGACGAGTACCAGATTTCACCATGGTGCTTCACAAATGTCATTCAATACGAAAAAACTTTGACCTCACTGTTTTCAATTGTCGTATCGATTAATTCCTGCAGTCTGGGTCAGAATAACCCTTTCAGAAGAGGGTATGTCTTTGTTTCAGTGTACACTATGTGCGTGTATGCATGTGTGTTTGTGTGCGTGTGTGTGTGTGTGTGTGTGTGTGTGAGTGTGTGTGTGTGTGTGTGTGTGTGTGTGTGAGAG